GTAATTCAAAATGTGTGAGGATGTAACTTTATTTATCGATATAAAAGATTGTATTATGTATCCACATAGAGATAATATGGTTAAACTACTGGTCTACCGAACAATATAACCGATCCGAGCTAACAATAAAATTTCACATACCTCTATCCTTTCTGCTCCACAATGTCACACTGACATAAATCAGAAGACCACTCACATGATTATGACAATACTTTTGACCGGTACTCAAACATTTCAAACTTTCTTCCTAAAGATAATGAAGGGTAAGAAACCAGTCAAAACAAATTAAGTCCTTTAACTGACACCTCCCGGAGAAATATATAGCCAAGTACGATAACTTTACACACTTAGCGGTTCGTTTGTTTAGTTGTTCGCTAACAACAAAATAAAGAATGAATAAAAAAGGAAAAACGAGAAAGTCTCTTAAAAAGTGCCCTCAAAAAAAGACGATTAAGATATTTCATTTTGAAATGTTGTCAATATAATTTATAGCACACGCTAAGAATGTGAAGAAATCAATGGACAATAATGTCATCAGTCGCATAACTGTTAAGACAGTAGCGTGTTACTTTCTAATCAAAGTAATGTGATTGATATATATATATATATATATATATATATATATATATATATATATATATATATATATATATATATATATATATATATATATATAGAGAGAGAGAGAGAGAGAGAGAGAGAGAGAGAGAGAGAGAGAGAGAGAGAGAGAGAGAGAGAGAGAGACTTGTGTAATAATAAATAAGAGAAAAGTAACATGTTACAAAATTAATGCTTTACATTTGAAAATAATGGACCATATAAAACTCGCGCTTTAGGAATCACCTTGCTAATTCAGTTCCTATAGTTATATTATATTATTCCAAACTTATATTTATCAGTACAGATGAAACCTGGAAGTCAACTTCTGTGCAGAGGAAAGTATATAAGCCGCGGCATTTTCTGGAGCTGCATATGATTGAAACATGTGCTTTCAATTCCGCACTAAAGAGTCAGGTGCTAAATTTAGTCATGAGTGTTCCAAACTCAAGACTATTAAAGAACTGAAATTCCATCAAAAAACAATGTCTCTATTTGTATTCTCTTTCAACTAGGATAAGGTCTCGAAAGATTCTTTTTTCTACAACATAACTTACATTATTAACCATCCTGGTCACCCAAACACGTTTATACTATTTAAAGTTCACCCATTTCTAGGCTGGTTCCCATTTTTCAATACAATTAGTACTGTGTCCTTTAGGAGCTATACTTTCACTGCCAATAGATTGAAAAGAAAAATTATACACAATTAAAGTAAAACATTACTTGAGCAATGTCAAATATTATTAAACACGTATAACAGACTCTACTGCTACAATTAAAGTATACAATTAATGTAGATAAATGTCTAAATGAATAAAGAAATTTTATTGATAGAACAAAATGTGTAGGTACCGAAGATTCTGAAATTTGTATTTAAAAAACTATTAAAGTTGAGTTAAAATTAGTCAATTAATTGTTTTTATGATCTCTTAGAAAATGGCCATTTAATTATCATATGGGTGGGTGTGTTTGAGGATTACATAAATATATGTTTAACTCTACCCGCATTGTTAATTCATCATTATTGACAGACAATGTAGAGATGAAGTCGTACGATCCCGAAGTCTGTGGGTAATTCCATTTTTCCATATATTTGATCTGAACTATGGGTGTTCATGCCTGCCATATTCCAAGACAGTGTTGAAGATTTTGGGGGATCCGAAATGTGTTTTGATGTCCCAAATGGGAGGAGTCAGTACACGTGATCTTAAACGCGCGTTTGTCCAAATAAGAATGAGTTACTTTTTGCAATAAGTCTATATAAAACTATTGGAAATTAAAATTTGATAAGAAAGTAACATCTGCTTTCTTTGAAGCAACTAATATACTTACAAACTAAAACTGGATGAAGATTTAGCATTGGACAATATCACCACACGATTATTACCACACTTTCATAATCACAACCTCTTATATATTAAATAAAATATTTTTAAAAATATAAAATTTCTGTCTTAACAATCAGATAGATAGAGGAACAGTCTTGAACAAGATGCAAATAGTTGATCGTTTTCTTGATTAAATGCAGTCTTTGCTGCACTCGGTAGTTCGATGTGGATGGTATTGAAGGTTATACAAAGTTATTTTTGTTTATCTTTGCGCTCTTTTGCGATTGAATGTTACTATTGTTTAAACTTTCATGATGATCTTGTTGAATTTTTCTTAGTATAGGAAATGATCTTTCTACATCCCCATTACTGTATGGGAGTGGCAAATATTTGTGTGATGCTGCTTTGTCGAGTGATGTCGTCCATTCCAGAAATAACTAATCTCAATATTGTTTTTGTGCAAACAATAAAATCCTCCCACTGACTGCCTCATAAAGTCAAACTCCGTCCAATATTTGTGATATTTAGTTTTGCTAGACTTTGTTCGTTTTGCAGATGGCTTATATTCTCCTAAGTGACAGTTGCATTTTGACACGTTACCTTATAAATTTAACCATGCTTTTACAGTATTCCGACCACTAAAATTATCGTGATTTGCGTTTTATATAGAGTTAAATCCCGTTTCAAAGAAGCATTGCAGCTGATCACAGTCTTGTCAAGGAATCACTAATAAGGATGACATAGACAACTTCATTCAAGGCAATGGTGGGTAACAACTTTTGTTCTTTCAGCAAGCATTTACATTATTGCGTCTAAAACGAAAGAATTAGGTTGTTTCATTTAGTATATTTTACCATGCAAATTAGTCTAATAGGCTCAAAGGACATGTCTACAGTTTCAAAAGATTTGGAACGGTATCATTCTAGCAATTCTTGTTCGATTATATCATCCGGGAATGGTAGTAACTTCCGTCTCACCATCTTGCACTTTAATTGACTCTGAGGCGATCAGCTGTATAAACTGCCCGGAGGATAGTTTAAACTGGCTTTAACCCTTTTAGGAAACTACATACCTGGGATCTATATAATGGTGGTAAAATAAGGTGTTCTCCCCCAAGATTATTTATAATCGTGTTTTCCAACAAAGGGGTTTGGGCTGTGGCAAAATCGTTGTATGGCACGGTACTGGATTACACTCATCAAAGGATTTGTAATCTTAAATTTATTTGGTTGAAACGGTTTCGTTTTGTTTAAAGAAAATATAAAGTGTTTCTGCAAATGTAACGCGTTGCTGCTGTCAAGTAACTTTAAATCAAGTGTTACTTATGTACCTAATACATAGGGACACAATATAGAAATACACAGATGGCAGACACAGGACATAGGGACCTCCGACAAAGGTCACTGAAAAACAAAAAGGTGAAGTCTTCCTAATCGGGTGATCAAAATCAGAGAGGGAAACTCGTCTTTTAGATAACACTAGGGACAAAAAATACGCCATTCAAAACTGGGTTTTAAAATTATTTTTCTAAACTAGAAAATCTTGCAAAACATCAGAAGGGAATACACGAAAACATAAAAAATATATATTTTATTAATTTGGCTAAGTTAAGGGAACGCATCTGTCTGGTGCCCCCCCCCCCATAAAAGTAATTCATAGGAACAAGATAGTGTTACATTGTAACATGTTTTTATTGGCTAAAAATATCATGTTCCCAATATAATTAAACTCTGCATCCTCTTTATCTCAATAAAAGACATTCGAAAGTTTCTTCAATCAATTGTGTCTTTGGTATCTTGTTTCACCCAGTAGTAAAGTAGTTAGTTGCGAGAGATATGATTGCTGGGCTCAGACAAAAACGCAATGAAGACACAATACACGCTATATAGTTTCAAACTACTTAGAGCTTTCATGCGACTTTAAAGAACGTTGCGTTCGATTCATTCCTCTCTCCACCGAAACTCTACAAGCTTTCAATGATCCTACACGCCTTCCCATTCCATTCAGATAGTCTTTGACAGCTTTAGAAAATACACAGGACCTCAAGGATAAAGCATTACAATTCATACAAGTCATTTTTAGAGCACTTCTAACCAAAACATTAATCTGATTATAATCCAATATTATAATGAAGATTTGAGAGCGACCGCTTAGGTGACCTTATAGTTAGCCAATGGAAATGCAGCTTTCAAAATCTGAAAGTGAACCAGGTGTATCCGCACAAATTGAAACTCTTCAGCCACACTGCTCAGTTTCCAAACACGGCAATATAAAACTTCATCTGACCGGCGGATAAACTTAGTGATTAGGATAATAAGATACGTCACCAAGACATGACCCCTTAACGGTGGTTGTCACACCTTCACATTGAACAGCGGAGATCTGGTTTTAATCGCATTGCCCAACACATTTGAATTAATCAGTCTTTTGGAAAATCTAATGCCAGAGCTCTAACTCTAGCTGAGACACAGGTTAATGACTATTGTAACTAATAATGAAATTGGGTTGGAAAAATATTGTGTCTTCGGATGAAATAGGAACAGAAGAGATTGAAGGCCTACCTATGTAAGGAACGGCATTGTTTCTTCTAGTACCAGATTTACATTCTGACGAGTTGGAAGCCCTGCGGTATGATTTATTTTTCCCCAAATGTAAACCTATATTTATTGGTGCATGTCAAGACCACCAAAGCAAGTTTGATTATTTTGACAAGTTTGAAGGGCTGTGAAGACTTAACGTTTTGATAACTTCAGAATTTGTTTCTTTTATACGATGTCAGCAACATGGAAAATATCATACAAATGCTTGGAATAAATAATTAACGACTTCTTAGGTGTGATCATGTGATTATGATTTTTAATGTAGCTTTAACAATTTTTCAGTCATATCGCTACGATATCTGCAGTGTGGCAGTTTATAGTGATGTCTAGCACTTGGGCATCATGCCGCAGACATGTAACATTATGTCCCACCCAGTCACATTATCCGGACAACAGGCTGACCAGTCCTAACCTCTTAATGCCGAGCGTCAAGCTAGGCAGCTGTTAGTACCATCTTTGTAAGTTTTTGGTATGACTCGACTGGGGATCGAACCCACGACCTCCCTCATCCAAGGTGGACACTCTAACCTCTAGGCAACCGGAGCAGTTCCCAGAAGTTAACATATCAATTTCAATATTATCAGACCACATTTTGAGCTTTCAAGTTTCCTAATTTTGTCACGTTTTTACCGGAAAGTCGATCCCTTCAAATATAAATCGCCAAGATACTGGTGGTATTTATCTGGCCTGTCACTATAGTTGCTTGCTTTGTGTATGTCTGAGAAGATAACCCACTCAAAGGACCAGTTGTCGTTCTTTAGTTTTGTCACGATAATTCACTTTAGAGGCACAACACTGCTTATTGCGACAGAATCACTGGTGGGTTTCTAAATTTCAACAACCAGTCGTCTTGGCGGGCAGCTTGATTTGCCACAGCTTGGTCTAAAAATGTTTTGGGCTGGAGATGTAGTGTTCAGTACAGTACGGTAACCTGTGCCGCAGAATCTGCTGAATGGGGCATGTGTATTTCATTTACCATTTTGCTTACAAATTGCATCAAAATCTAGTATATTCATCCTTCTACCGTCATATCAAATCACCAACATCTCTTTATTTGATATGTTTCCCTCTGAAATTTTTGCATGAAATTGGAAAAAATATGTTTATTTGGTTTCTTTTAATCGCACTTAAAACCCCTCTATTTCAACTGCAAGAACAGTCATAATGACCTAACAAAGTATTCTTTTTAACGTATCTTTACCTTAAAAATTTAGAGCATGTTTTCTGTTTCTGATTTTGTGGTGTTTGTTTTTAATTTTTGTGATCATTTCATTATATATGGGTTGCTTTTCATATTCATTTTTAAGTTTGTCAAATTTTGTAAAGCGCTTAGAGCTTCTAAAGGTTAGGCGATATATATATATATATATATATATATATATATATATATATATATATATATATATATATATATATATATATATATATATATATATATATATATATACATATACATATATATATAGATATATATATATATATATATATATATAGATATATATATATATATATATATATATATATATATATATATATAAAGAATACAACTCATATGGCGAATAACAACCCTTTCAAGCGCACTGGATCCACCCAGGGATCAAGTGTGTCAGCAGGGATTGATTAAAATAGATGCAATATATATATATATATATATATATATATATATATATATATATATATATATATATATATATATATATATATATATATATATATATATAGTCCTCGTTAATAAAAAAAAAAAATAATAATAATAATAATAATAATAATAATAATAATTATTATTATTATTATTATTATTATTATTATTATTATTATTATTATTATTATTATTATTATTATTATTTATGACCTGTGGTCAGTTGGATAAGGCCTGAGTGTCCTCAAAATCGCATAAAAAGGGTTACATGATGTTAATTTATATGTTCCTTATAATTCTGGAGCCTACTTTTTTAATTATGTCCTACTTTTATTTCGTATCAGACCCCAATTATAATATCATGGGAATTATAAGAACAATAAAGGAGGTTGTAATGTTTTGTGTGTAAAAGAATGGAGGGGAGAAGGGACGATACATAAGTGGTAAATATTTTAATTTTATATTGGGCTCACAGGATGAAAGGGTGGGTGGGTAAGAACTGTACTTTGCTGTTTATACTTTATTTTATACGCGTTCTATTACATTCTACCATGTGTTAACGGTAGTTTTGTTTAAAGTAAGAGAAACGGTATTGGTAGCAATATTATAGATAGGACTATATTTTATTCTTTATTCACAAGAGGTTTTGTAGGGTGATAAGGGAGATAGATTTTCAGGTTTCTGCGGCTTTTTTAATCTCATACCCTGTGTGGTCAGTAAATGAGTGGAAGTTTATCATACCGAATGTCATTTTGAATGCTAAGTAAAGTTTGTTATTTACATTTTTTTATAGGTCTGAGAAGTCTATACCAACTTCTCCTGTAAAACGTATGACGTACTATATATAGCATTTCATTTAGAGTGCGGACCGACGCATAGTGCTACACTATTAAAGATAAATTTCAAAATGACGCCCTAATGTTAAATACTCGTTAAAGGCCATACTATTTTGATCCCATTTAACACTCTCATTAGAAGCTACATCGCCATTCTATATTTGTGTTTAATACAGAAATGCTGCCCTTTCTTTACAATAAGTGTGTTATGGGTTCCAAGTTTTGCAGTCATAACACAGTGAATACTAAAATAGTTCCATACAAAATCTCGACAAATAGTATCAATAAATTTCATTTCAAAAAGTTTTCTGCTTTGCAATCGTTGTTAGCTCAATTGCTTCCACAAATATGTTTTTGATCATCATCGTTGTTTTAATCAATATTTTCATATTATTGATTTAGATAATCTGAAACACGTTTTCTTTGAATCGTTTAAACAGCTGACTTGGCATAATTATCACGAGTGAAAATGGTTTTTTTTTTTCAATAATTAGTTTTCCATTCTTGTATCCATTCCACCGCATCCAATCGAAACCAAGTTAATCAAACTTTAGCATATTAGAAACAAGGATAGCAAACGACTGGAATGGATTCATAAATAAACAATTTTCCAATGCTAATCTGTGTTTACACAAATACATCCTTCCCTCGAAAACAAACTGTTACGTGTTGTCTCTGGTGGCCTAGTAGTTAGAGCGTCCATCTCGGGTGCAGTAGGTCGCGGGTTTTAACCACGGCAAAGTCATACCAAAGACTTATAAAAATAGTACTCGATTGGAGGTCAACGTTAAGAGGAATGGTCGGCGACACTAGCTACTTAAATGATTAAGTGTCTGCAAGCGACCTAAATCGGTATGCAAATATCATAGATGCTTTTTAGTAATATCTCTTATAAGTTTGTTAGATGTTGTAGAACATGAGTGATCTTATAAAAGAAAGAAATGAACACATACAAGGAATATAAAACAAATGTGACAGAAATGCAAGCAGAAATTAACACAAATGCACCAAAAAGAAGTTCATAGTAGCATTAACTTTTTTACTAAAAATAGATTGTAATTTAATACTTTGATGAAAATTATTTTGTTTTCGTACGGTGTTAGGGAACATTAAAACTAAGGTAATTTTGAAGCCACCTATTAAAGTTATTCAGTTCACTAGTAAGCAAATTTCGTATTAGCAGATGGGTCAGTTTTTAAGGTTAGAGGAGGAGAGTGGTGAAAGTGCAAACTATTTTGTATATAACAATTAGATTTTTGAAAAATTAAATTGATTAAATTAAAATATATTCAAAGCTGTAAGTTGAAGTGTACTTATTTTGGTGGAAAATCGGTTGAACCTATTTTGGTGCGAAATATCTTGGCCAGGCAGAGAACAAAGTACAGAATTCTGTCGTCATTAATGTATGCTATAGGCCTCGAGCCGTCTTTAGCCGGCACGAATACAGCGCAACGGCCATATAGGTCAATAAACAACAAAACCATGTACTATTTATGGTAACTTGTCCGGATTGTATTGTATTGACGCAGTGTTGGGTTCGAAAAAACACGGTAAAAAGTTGAACTTTTTAGGTGCTGTTTATGGTTTGTTTATTTATTTAAAAATGTCACCTCCGATACCACTAAGGTAACGCAAACGAGATTCAGTGACATTTACGGATATCTTGAACATTTATGTCAACTATCCCACGGCTTTTTCTGTATGTAGGGTGACAGGAATAAGTATTAGAAGAGAAAGTTTACACATACAGTAAGAGTTTCCTAAAGTTTTAATCGGGTGTAGCACTTATGTAAGGGATACACGGACTCTCAAAATTGTTACAGTAGTGCACCAAAGAAATATGAGAATTTCAAAATTAAGCAATAAATTAAATTGACGATAACTTTCATGTATTGGTATATGGCCTTATCGTCTAACGGATACGAAACTATTTCCTAGCCAGTTATTATAATTACTATATTACTGTCACGATGAGGACAATTAGCAAAGACACAGCACTAATTTTAATTGTTTTTTCTTCGTATTTTAAATGATCGCGGAAGACGGCGTGGGCTTAGCCATCCATGTCCTCTAGCAAAAGTCCGCAAAGATTTTAAGACATTTTCTTCAACTGGAACATTATTTGGAAATATTTCAGAACAGGGGTATTGTTGGCATTTTCTTTTGTAACAATTCTCGTACACTCGGGCAAAGGCTAATCACCAAGACGCACTATATTTAGGTGTTTGCTTACGACCTCCTAAGTGATACGCCTGAGGCAATCTGGCTAAAATCAAATCTTCACGAAAACAACAGCCGCTTAGGGGTCATGTTCTGGTTAACTGTCTAATATGTTATTACCTAATCGCTACTTTGATTTGCCAATCATATGAAGTCTTGCAGAGCATCAACGTGTGCCGAGCGATTTAATTTACTTTTAAATTTTTGAAAGCTGCATTTCCACTGGCTAATTGAACGGTCACGAGAACGTCGAGTAGTCTGGTCCCCTGCTTAGTATGCTCCCTGCGATGCACTCCGCTATACTAAGTCAGGCGAACGCCGACGCCATATTATCACGTGATCACAACAAAGGGCCTTCCGTTATCTTACCCTGGCACATTTATTTCTTTAATATTCTGTTTATTAGGGATACAATGCGAACTTTACTTATACTTTCTATTTGAACTATAGCAGTTGTTATTTTATGTTCAAGCTTAACTAGCAAATCGGCAACTTAGGTATTTTTACAAATTTTTTTTCTACAATCATGCGAAGACGAAATGTATAGATGAAAACAACATTATTTTGTAAATTTTGCACTTTTCCCACAACATCATCTCAAATATTCCTTTTCCAATCGATTCCTTGATAAATTTTAGGTCGAAATTGATATGATGTTGTGCACGGCAGCTTTAATTTTGCCAAAGATTAAGCCGAAAATAACTACCTCATTTTTCCAGGAGGGGGGTAACGATTGTTTTACAAATATTGCCTATTTTACACTACGTCATCTAAAATAGTCCAGTTGCAATGAATTCCTTAATCAATTATAAATAAATTCGTATATATTTTTTTCCATGATAGCCTAAAT